TTTTCGCTTTATTTTTCCTTGACTAACAACGTTAATAAAAAAAAAAAAAAATTGCCCTTAAATAAATTCATGAAATTTGTTAATAATAAATGTATTAGTCATAACATATATATAGGTAATATGTATTGAATTTTCAGGTGCACCGCTATCGGATCAAATTTTCAGTAAATGAATTACACAAAATCAAAATCTAACAAATTCGGATTCATTTTGTGAAAATTAAAGTTTAGTTTTGATTTCAGAAAAGCTTCACAGTAATTACTGCTATGTAAATCGACGAGAAAATGCCGAAACAATATACTAATTAGTGACAATATTTTTGCTAAGTTCATTTATTCCAAATTTGCTGAGTAAAAAATAAAAATTTCTTCCGAAATATATGGATACAATTTATAAAATAAAAATATGATGGAAATTTATGATGATTTCGCAAAATGCGAAGGTTTTTAGAATGCATAGCTCTGCTTATCTCGGGTTAATGCTAACACTCTTCTTTTCGCGGAACTTATATTCATTCATATTTTGCGCTTCCAATCGGAAGTCGTTGTAAACTCCGTTATGCATTTATCCCAGTCTGGCCAATATCGCCCTAAAATTAAATACTTCAGTTCGATTTAATATTTCAATTTTTTCTTTCGAAGGTAAATAGCCAAATTATTTGCTTACTCTATGTTTTTCAATCTTTTATTTTTAAATTTGATTAATTTGGTAATTGCTTATTCATCTATTTCAGATGAATTTAATTAATCAATTTCATATTTTTAGCTGTAAAGTGCCATCTCAAAATATCACTATATATAATATTACATTTTTTTAATTTTGCAATTAAAAATCAAATTTAAATAAAATTAAATTTCTGAAAAAACTAACCTTTAATTCGATCACAAAATTCTTTCAAATTTGGCAATTCCTTTTCAATTGTCGTTTTTGGTGGGAAATCATATGGAGCGTAAACAATTTGAGACAGCACTCCGAACAATGTTGCATCAACCAGAAAAAGAAAATTGAATTTGACATGCGAATTCGTAAAAGCAATTTAGAGCTGTGGCAATAAATAATTTCAATGAAAAGTTTAATTAAATTATAAATTCGCTTCCAGCTTATTTTTGTCTGATATTTGAAATACGAGAATCAAATTTTGAACATTTTGCTTACTCTTGTTGGCTTAAAGCCAGTGAAATAATGCTTATTGCCAAGATAGGATGAAATAGCTTTCAAATCAGCATTAGCAATATTAACGATTTCATCACGACTGTGCTTTCCGATAGGAAGTAATGGCATTTTTTTTTTAGTCTGGAATTTAAGAAATATTTTTGATATGCAAGGAATAACATTTAAATGAATTTTATGTCGAAATCGTATAAACTTAGTGAAAATATAAAAACGAAATAATGTTGAAAGAAGATAGATAAACATATCTTCAAAAATAATATAATAATCTTACATATTATCTAGCCTAGATTAAGTTAAGAACATTTCTGGCCAAAATTATTTATTTATTCTAAGCCGTCAATTAAGATATTTCTGTTTTGCGAACAATATTATAAATCTTTTTCGAGATATTAGTAATAGTCAATCACTTAAGTCTTTTCGTGATACTGACATACAAATATAACAAAATTCGAATACTTTCATCATCGTTTTTATTTTATTAGCTAAAAATATCACAGTATATTAGACTTTTTTAATGAGTTTTTCATCCACTCTATTATTTCTTTCGTTTTTCTTGCATATTTCTGGTTCGTTAAAAATTAGTAGTAAGAAAGTAATCTATCAGTTAAAAAAAAAAGGCTCGTTCCCTCGATTATGTAACATTATTCAAAATAAAGATTCCCTTTTTTTTTTTTTTTTTTTCATTAAATCATGTCATTTGAAGCAGTGATTAATTTCTTTGATCATATCACATTATTCAAAATAAAGAAATATCTTTTTGATCATATCATTCGAAACAAAGATTTGTTTTTTACTAAGAAAATATAGGAAATTAATTATGCCAGAGTTATGAATAAAATGATACCTTCAAAGTTAACATCTTCTTCAACAAAAATTTCCAAACTGGTGTCAGCATGCCAAATGCATTATCCGGTAATTGTTCAATTGCTTCATCTATATATTCCACCAGTCGGAAATAAATGTTGGCCATTTCTAATGAATTTTCAGCCATTGCTTCAAATGCTCGAGCTGTTGCCTTTTGTTCATCATTTAAATGATTTTCCATTGATTCTTTGGAGAATATCGCTGTCATATCTCTACAAATTCGATTGTCCCGAAAATTTGCTTTTCCTTTTTAAATATATAATAGAATATGAATTTATTAATATAACTAAATTAAGCATTGCAATGAATAAAATTCGATAAGGATAGATGACATTAAAAAATAAAGCAAGAAAATAACAGATAATACAATTAAAAATAAAATTTGAATTAATTACACTTGAAAAAAATTTCGATAAGAAATATTAGAAACATTTAGAAGTATTTAGAATGAAATATATACCGTATTGCAAGTGCCGAATCAGGATATTCCTTGCCGTTATATTCCAAAAATGGCAATGTTCCCTCTAAAGAACGTACACTCCAAGAGCATATATTCTGTAGTTGAAAGAATTCATTTCAGTGATATTTTTATTGTTTAGTCATTACTAATCAAATGAATAGTATTTTAAATGGTTTTTTGAAGAAAGTTATTTAATTTGAAGCAATTAGAATATCTAATAAGATTTAAAATTTATCCAATAGTTAGAGACTTTTTTTAATTCTAACTTCATACTGTATATCAGCCATACGAAGCCAAGTTTCCATTTTTAAGCAAAATGCTGACATAGTTGGTACATATTTCATTCTCGGAAACTGATATAAGTAAACTAGGCCTAAAATGAGGAATTATTTAAAACACAGATGAATGAGTAGATAAACGATTTGCCAAAAACAATTGTAAAAAGCAAAAAATTTTTTTCCAAACATTTCAATTAAAATATTTAAATCTTTCAATTTACGGAAAGAAATTTAACAAATTTAAAACATTCGCAATCAAAATTGCCAGTTTCCTTTTATTCCATTCCCAAATATAATTTAATCTTTCCTACGACTAATTAATTTAATATATAGTTTGTCATAATTTTAGTTAAAATATTTATTGAGTAAAAGAAAAATTGAAACAAACAAACTAATCAATAAATAAGCCAATGCTATTGAGCTAAAAAGAAATATCAACCTTGCTTATAATCACTTTTAATTGGTGTTTTTCGTTGTCGTGCAATGAAATATCTGTATGGAATATAAAATGCAAGAATGATTCCACCAACTGCACCAATTTTTGCGTATGGTGTTGATTGTTCATAAAATTCATGTGCATAATTTTGTAATGAATCAAACTTCATCTATAAAAGATGATTTCATTAAAATTTATTTTTCATATTTTAACAATATATTGTTAAACGCATCATTATTCCATTAACATTTCCCACATTTCTTGTCTTTAAATTGTTTTTGTATCAGTATATATATATAAAAAAGCTACTATTATATTATAATTATTAATCACTGATGCGATAAGTAAAGCGTTCAATAGATGGTACCTTTGGATGATATAGATGATATTTTTGTGTGGTACAATACTTTTACTGCCTTAAAATATAGCATAAACATAGAATAATAATTGGCAGAATTCAATCTATTTGTTTTTTTACTAATTATACTTATAATTTACATTTTTATTTATATCTAATTTGATATTATCTCAATGTAAAAGAATTTAATTGACTTAAAAACACAATATTTTTTCCCGATTCTTTCAATCATATATCGAATGATATACTGAAATAGATTCGTCATTTTTAAGCATATGATACAAATGATATCATGTTACCTGTTTAAAGAAATTGTAACCTGAAGTGTTGTTTATAGTTTAACATTTTGAAATGAAGATTAAAACCTGTTAAATATGTTGAATTAAAATGCTGAACCACTCGGAGCAAATGAATATTAGAAAAAATTACCCGTGGATTTTAACGAAGGTGTACCAGCAAAAACAGA